AGGCTTAACACTAGGAAAAACTTCTTCACAGTTACAGTGTCCACACTGTGGAATAGGCTCTCTCCAGAGGTGGTGCAATCATTTACCCTAGAAATCCTCAAGAAGAGATTGGATGGTCACCTTGCTGGGGTCACCTGACCCCAGTTGTCTTTCCTGCCTAGTGCAGGGGGGCTGGATCCAATGATCTTGCAAGGGCCCTTCCAGCCCTTACGATCTATGAATCTATGCGAGAGACATGCAGGGCCATAGAAGGGTGCAGAAGCAACAACTGGCATGCCTGTAATTAAGAAGAGACAGGACTCACTCTGGGTCTCCTCTAGAAGCCTCTGGGCAGAGCAAAGTAGTGGCTGTTGTGTGTGGGAGTTCCCAGGGGAACATGGTCCCCTGCAGTGGTCAGCCAGTCCAGGCTGCCCTTGGTGATCTCTGGTAGCCTGGGGAGCCTGCAAAACAGGCTGGAATGTTTGCAACAGGGACCTCCTGGCCTTTGCCAACACAGGCTGTCTGTGTAGTTCCTGCCCCAAATGCTGAATGCTTGTACAATTCTCATCCAGTTGGGTTTCCAACCACCTGCACTTGAAGCACTGAACTTTACCAGGTAGTTCTGCATACTTGCACATACCTGTAGAAAGCTTTCCATCTCCATGCACCAGCCAACAGCATTTATAATGTACGGAACAGAATGTAGACAGAGAAAAACTGTGCTTTACATAGTTTGTACATAGTACAAATAATACAAATAAATAAAAGCAGTGCAGTGTCTTGCCTGTTCTCATAGCTTCAGTCCAGCATACACAAAGCTAAAAAGATGCATTAACTGCTAGAGTAAGACTGCCCTCTAGTAGCAAAGTTTCTTTAATACTCTTTTCTGCTTTTTTGAAAATATTATACTGAAATTTAAAATCTTCAAACAGTAATATCATATTCCAGTTAGGAGCACTTTACAAAAGGCATGTAATAATAAATATAGCACCCTCCAGTGGCATCTACCTAAAAAACAAGGGCAGATCTAGATGTGAACAGAAAATGTAAAATGACTTGAGTTAGCAAACCCTGCTCAAAATATGATTTTCTAAAAATCTGGGAACCAAACCAAGAATACTACTTTCATTTCTGGTTAATTTAATCTCAAAACAAATAAACAAACAAAACAGCAACAGAAATTTAGCTACAGGTAACAAACTGAGTAATAAAAGCATTGAAAAAACACAGACTGCTTAGTTTGAAAAAGAAATGCCTCAGAGTTGAAAAGACAGTGTTAAGTAAATTAATTGCTAGTATAGAATACATAAATCAGAATATTATAAACCAAGTCTCATAACACAGGAAAAAACAGCTATTTAATTAGGTCAACAATCAGTATGTTTAACATGGAGACAAATGTTTAAAATATTATTAACTTATGGAACTTGTCTTATGAAATCAAAAGACAAGATATTCATTGGATAAATGGTCTCAACCATAAGTGACAGACAGAATTTAAGTATAAGGGTAGAAAACCACTAACAGCTAGGGATTGAAAATACTGTCTTTCAGACAGGTTGTTCTATAAGTTGTCAAAAACATAGGATTTTTTCAGCTTTGCATGAAGCAATTCATATTAGGTACTGTTACAGAAATGGTCAAAAAGAAAATTTCCTTTCACCTCTGCAGGAAGCATCCAGTAACAGGCCCAACTGGAGACAGCGTACTGAACAATTTGGAAAACTGGTGATCGGAAAAGACCCTCCTCATGTCCATGGACATTAAAAGCATCACAGTAGGCAAAAAGGCAAAAACAGATCCAAAAGTTAACTGTGTTGTGTCAAATTAGAACTATACTTCATGACAACGCATGTTCTTCACTAACTGCTTAATTTTAAAATAAATAAGGTGTGGTAATACATGAATTACTGTGACAGCATGCACAAGTAAGGCACTGTATCTTTATATGGCTGGTTATGATAATTTGCATATTCAAATTATTGACCTCAGGAGTGGTGAGGTCATTGACCTCAGGAGTGGCGATAGGTAATTCAGGATATAATCACAGAGGTATTTTGCCGATGCAGCTGTATGGTTAACTTTCTTAAAAATCAGTACCGTGACAAATTTGTAAAGATGCTTCGAGTGACATTTTAAAAAGCCTTAATAATTCCATTTGAAAAAAATGCTTAGTAAGTTAATATGTTATTTAGTAGTAAGTTAAAATGCCAAGTCAGAGTACTGATGGTCCTTTATCAGTTAATTACCATTAATGTTCATCAGAGAGTTCTGAGACAAATATACACAGCAACATCTCACAATGTCTAGTTTTACCTACCTACTATCTGTTGTAGTCATTCTTCATGGTCCTGATACCTTGAAGATTTCTCAAAATCAAATATAAAACTATCTGTTCCTACTTTTAACACTGATCTTGATGTTGCAATACCCTACCTTTTAGCCTTTAGTGTCTAATTAAAGAAGACACTATGCAAGCCATCTGGCTGATTTCAAGTAATGCAGCTCAAGTAACAGGTAGTACAAAAGTGGCATGAGAGACTGAAATAGTCAAACACTATTTGTAACAAAATGACATTTCAACTGTATTCAGAACCATACAGGTCAAAGATTAACTGTAAATGGCAATGACCCTCATTTGCATGGGCTTACAGATGCATGCTTTCAGAGCTCTTAAAAAAGCAAAAAACAAAACAAACCCTTCTGATTTAATTTCCTCTTGCACAATCATTCCTTACATGTGGTCAATTGCTGTCCCATGGCTCCATTTGTTTCCTTCCCCAACTCCCAATTTTTTATTTTTATTTTTATTTTTTTAACTAATGCTAGCCTGACATCCTAAGCAGCTTCCCAGTCAAGATATGCAGTGCCCTTGACATTCCTTTGTTTAAATCTTTTCTGTAATCTAACTGGTCTCATTTTTCTAGACACTAATATTCAGTTACAATTGTACTAAACACACTATTTCAGTATTTGTTCATGCCTTTAAAACTGTAAGTCCTTTGAGGGCAGGAACTAAATTGTCTAGTTGCTGGTACGTACACAGGTAGGTATGCACTTCAGGTGTATCTATAAAATGCTAAATACTAAAAATGTTTGCTCTGGAGTTCCATGTTAGAAAAGAAATCCTCTCTTTGAAAGACAACGATATTTTTTTCCCCCCCGCAGTTGCCACAGGGGTAATTAGTTACTTGGTCAATATAAAGGAATCATGGTGTTGCCATTTTGATTCCTTCTCAGATCATAAACGTTAATTAGGACCAGAGCAGGCTATTACCTGGATGGAAGACTGTACAGAATTATGGAAGGTGTTTCAAACAGTCATAGATTTTTTTGGTCAGCTTTAATACTAATATGGTGTGCCAAACTGACAGCCACACAGATTAAAGTCACTTATATACCCAGAGAACAATAGCTAGGAGTACAGAGAGTCTTTCTGCAGCACACAGAAACAGCATATAAACCCTGACCTCAATGCAGCAGCACTTCAAAAACAAAAGACCATCTCAGTCTCCACAACAGGTTAGTACTTCCCAGGTTCGCTGAGACTACCAACAAGCATGTCAATGACCACCTGTCATGACTTTTTCTGATGCAACCTGGTCTGAAAATTCAGTTTATTTCACAAGGGCTACTCAAAAGTCAGGAGAAGGTGACAAACAACCATCTCTCCAAACCTGGGTTGGGTATAAACTTGGTGAATTACCTTCTGTCATTCAACCCTCCTATGGTTGCCAAAGTTAACTATGGCACAACAGTTAATATTCTGGGTCAGACTAAGGGTGTGGACAGATGTTGCAAGTGAAACATTACAAAGACGTATGAAACATGTGAAACGGCCAGCTGTACAGGTGTACATACCCTTTGAAATGCTCCAAAAATGGCTGAAACACTCTAAAATAGTTCCTCTGCAAATGAAGCACTATTTTGGCACATTTCACTTTTGCTTATCTCTGATTTGGAACAGCACATGGGAGACAAGCTGGGTTTACCCACTCCCCACCACTATCCCTACCAGACCCTTAGGGCTGGAGCAGGGCCCTCCAGCCCCAATACCTTCTACCTGAAAAAGTAAGGAGAGATCTGGGGGATCTGGAAGACCCTACCACCCCTCCACCCTAGCTTGTCTCCTCTCTGCACTCTCATCCCTTCTCCCTCCCACACCTGTGACGGAAAGGGAAGGAGGGAGCTGAGAACAGAGCCCTGGGTTGCTGCAGCCCTGGCTGTTGCTAGAAAAGGCTTCAGTATTTTGAAACATTCCAGACAGGAACAGCACAGGGCATGAGCATTCCCCCATGACAAACACTCCTTTCTTGAAGTTTCCAAGTGTGTTTCACTAGGCAATGTTTCAGTTACAACGTCCGTCCTCACCCTAATACTCAATCTAGGCCAATATCCTGCCTAACAGTTTCTTTCAGAGACAATGCAAGAAACCCTGTATTTCAAAATCTACTCATAGGAAAAGTTTTTTCAACCCAAAGCCCTGATCAATTAGATTATGTCACAAAGTATGAAACACTTATTATTTTGTACTAGTCAAAATATCCACAATGTTGCTTCCTTTTCTAAACCAAACTCCCAATAGCTGGTGGAGACAATTTCCATATGGTAATTATTAGATGTAGAAATGTATTTTCTCTTATATATTTCATTGTCTTCTCTTTGGCTTAAGTTATGAAAATGGGTAAGTACAACTAACAGATTTTATCTCCGTCATTCATATCACTATTTTACACATATCTGTCATGTCTCTCATATATTTTTCAAGTCAGCTATGATGTACAAGATTTTTTTTTTTTATTTACATGAGAAAGATTTTTTAGCATGTTTCAAAAAGAAGAAATGATAATAAGAAATGAGAGTCAAGTGTTCTTAATTAAAGCCTAGTTAAAAAAAAAAAAAAAAAAAAATCAAGCCAGGTATCAAGCAAACACCGTCAAGAACTTCAGGGTTTTCCTTTGATCTGACACCTCATGTTATATCATATTCCTGTACTGACAAGATTGAGGGGAGCTGCTTACCGAGTTTTCTTTTAATTGTAGACCTTCTCCATTTGGCAGTGATGACCTTCGTTTTGTGGATGAATTCTTGTTTGGAGTGGAACTAGTGCCTCCAGTTTTCTTTTTCACATGAAGAACTTCGCAACTAGCCTGGTCTTCGTTGTGTGTGCTTTTTCCTGCATTTATCACCCT